TAAACGACACGACGCGATCGTATCCTTTTGGTTCCTTTTTCAATAGTGCACAATCGATTGCAAACCCAGAATCGTCACACATCGCGCTAAACGACTTCTTAACATCTAGTAAACCAAGAAATGGTGCTTCCATCAAAATGTTCTTGATTTGAGCGAACGCTTTTACACAAGTAGACGACCACTCTCATGGTACGTCCTTCTTGAGCAAGTTTAATATTGGGCGTTACATGTCCGTGTAGTTGCGCGAGTGACAACGCAGGTAGTCAGAAAACCCAGTCTGTTTCCTCAAATCCTTTAATTTCATGTTACTGGCCACTTCATGATTGATTTGAGCTTCTTGGGATCTGCACGAACACCGTGTTCGCCAACATAACAACCGAGGGCCGGTACTTTGTTAGCACCGAAAATTGCTTCGCAACATTCGCTTGCAATAAAACTTCACGCATACATTCCAGCACCGCACAGAGGCTCTCCAAGCGCACTTTCTCGGCAGATTTGCCATCTTCGTCGCTTGAATGAACAAAAATATCGTTATAATAGGTTTGTGCTAAGCGTCGCAGTGGTTGAAACAGATTGGAGGTCAATCCATTGAAAGGTGCTGGGGTATTGGTTAGATCTTGTGGTATCAGAAGGCGCCCCCATAACGACCCGGACGGTGCGCAAACAGTAGTTAGAGGGACGTCCTTTTCAATCATCAAGATTTGGTAGTATTCATCAACTAAATTAAGCACATTAAACTTTGTACATCCGGGCATGCAGTGAATGATGACACTTTTCGCAGATTGGCGTTTGAGCGGAAACCGTTTGCTCATTCAACTTGTTAGAGGCGTGAACAATTTGCCATTTACTATTTTATTTGTGCAAACAAAACGTCGGCGCTGTGAGGGACTTGCTCTCCCTCAACCAGACTAGCAGCTTACCTTTGAGCAAAGAGCTAATCCACATTCTTACGTGGATCACGAGAAAGCGGCCACCGTCAAGGCACTGCATGCTTTGAGCCAGGTTCACGATCAATTTCGTGTCGATGTTTTCGTTCTGAGGGAAGCCAGAAGGAGGTTTCGCACTAATAACATCATCTTTGTATTCCATTTCAAGTTAGTGATGAGAATCAATTGGATTCATCAAAATATCCGATCCTCTGGTTGACTACACATGCTATCAAAAATTCTCGAGAACTGAATCATCCATTACCGATAATAAGAGTAGTTCCAATGATTCGACCTCCGACCGTAGCAACACTACCTCCGCAATGTCATCATAATTGAGTTTGTAGATGCAGTCATCGTAAGTGACTACCTCGAGCCGCACCAGCTCTCCCATCGCCGAGAAGGAAACCAAGAAACATCTGTTCTGACAACTGCACAACCAGTCGTTGAATTCACAATAGATGACGAGCATATTCGCATGCTACAGTTCCATCATTGGGGGGGGTACGCTTTACTAACTAACCCGCGGACTCAACCGTATCCGGAGCGGAGGTATCAATACCGCGATCCATAATTTCTATTGATTTTTGACATTTATGTGCTCAATCACACAACGGGCGGAAGCATTACTTTTGTGATCAAGTATACCCACTGACCCACAATCTGGTTCAACCACTGTAATAGTGGAAGTAGTGGCGTATACAGCCGTTGTTGATTCCC